CTCACATTCCGCCTCCTCCCCTTTCTTTCCTTTCCTTGAGTTTCTCCTTTCTCCTAATTCTCGCTGCGATTGTTCACCCATCTGCCCACCTCATTCCTCTTTTGATTCTTTGTTTATCCCTCTCTTTTCACTCTGCAGCAACTTCTTATTTCTTCCCGACTCCCTTATCTGAGCTCTCCATCTCCCTTTCTCCTGTCACCCTTTCTTCCTCAACTTTTCTTTCTCTTACATTTCTTCCTGCCTTTTAACAGGTTCCATAATCTCTCCCTCTGAATTTTCTTCTGATTTCTTCAGTCTCATTTTCATCTCTCTTTTTCTTAAGTGGAGTCTGGAAAAAATTAACTTTTTCGTGACCACTGTTTTCTTCCTCTTTTCCTGGTCTTCTACTTATCTTTCCAGTTTCATTTTCTGTACCACTTACTTCCTGACATCATTTCCTTCTGACCCTCAATTTCCAAAAGAACAGAAAGAAATGACTTTAGAGTACTTTTTTTCTAATAGACCTTTCAACTAAATATCAAAATATTTTATCTAAAGGCAGTCGATTAAAAAAATTGTATCACACACACAGTAATATAACCCTGAATATTATTTTCCAACTGGCTTTATAAATCTTACATAAGTTCTAAATGGATAACTTGTCAACTGTAGTTCTATGACCAAAAAAAAAAAAAGTAATCTTGTCATTTCTTGAGAACTTATTATGTACACATTGCTCAATATCTCAATGTATTACTCAAGTTCTAAAGCCTTTGCTTTTCCTATCTAACCCTACACAATCTGATTTCTAAAGGTACTTCATGGGAAACTTTGCTTTTAGATGAGCACAGGATAATTGGATCATTTACATTTTTACTGCCCTGTTAATGAACATTAAATGCCTGTACGTCTCAGATGGAAAAATTAGGCATGGCCTCCTAGAGGCCTTAGAGTGGTTGTCTCAATGACTGTCGATGCCTTATCTCTCACTGACTTAGAAATATAAAAATGCAATGGTGTCTCTTAAAATGTGGAATACAAAAATTCTATGTTAAAGTGCAAGTAAGTGTCACTACTAGGAAGAGACAGGCAGCAATCGTCAACATGTTCTGCAGAGGGTGAGGAAGCTTGGTTAACCTCGCATTTAGTAGAGAGGCATCTGTTTCCTTAAAATCTGTCATTCCAGTGACTGGCTGAATGCAAAAACAAGCTTAGAGCTAACGAACAAAACAAAATTCAGCAAAGCCCCAAGTATCAGACTAGAAAAAGTTGAAAACATTCTACAGAGAACTCTCTTATTTCCACCAAAAACTTACTGTAGGCTGCGGAAGAGCAAGTAGGAAACGTTAAGTTTAAGTTCACCTCTATACAAGGAGACATTATGTAGTTAATGAGTTATAATTAAGAATATGAGCTTTAGATATAAACAGACCTGGGTGTAAATTGGTACTCTGAAACTTACTACATGTGCTATAAGCTAGTAAAAACATCTGCATATTGGGTTGCTATGAGGAGTAAACAGAGGTAGCTCATAAAGGTAAGGCAACATAAGAAATATTCGATAATATTAATTATGAGATCCAGAGAAGGAAAAGGGATTTCCCAAAGTCACAAACTAGGCCAAGAGCAAAATTAAGACCAGATCACCAGCAAATGAATTTTTACGCCAATGCTGTTTCAACTCACTGAGATCATAAAAAAATGGTCTATGGGTCAAATTTGGCTTACTGTCTCATTTTGTAAATAAAGTTTTATTGGAACACAACCACACTCATTTTTTTAAGTATTGCCTATGGTTACTTTGGTGCCCAGATGGCAGAGTTGAGTAGTTGCAATCTGCGGAGCCAAAAATATTTACTAAAAACCCTTTACAAACAAGTTTTTGAACCTTGTGGCTGGGACTAGACTTAAAGTCTTAGGGAGACTGACCAAATAAACTCACTATAATTCTTTGTATGTCCTTGGGTGTCTTACTCAAAAAGGCAAAAATTTCCTAGTGAAATCTGACCTTCCCAGGTCTTAGTCTTGGTAGTTTAAAACAAAAACAAAACAATTTCCGTAGAAGGAAGGTAATTTGTTCCCTGTGATGAAGACTTCAGATTCAGAAGGTTGTTCAGAATCGAAATCTTTATTTATCTTGGCCTTCCAGTTCCACTTAAATCTCAAATCTCTACCCTACTTTGCTTTCCACTAACTTGAAAATCTCTAATGCATACAAAATTGCTAGGTAACCCCTTCCCCCATGTTGCTATGTTTTCTTAATCAGAGTCAAGGAATGCTGGTACTAAATCTGTCCTTAGCTCTCTCTTGCCACAGATGAAAGAACTGATGCCTAGACAGGGAAGGTGCCTTAGCCATACATTCCATGTACAGTGCCTTTTTCATTAAAAGAAAACTACACCCCACGATTAACTCGATGTTGCTCAACTATTTAGAGTTTCTGTGGTGGCAAATCAGACAACAGATTTAGAATTTTAAATTAAGAACTTAAAAAAAATGTTCATTGGTTTTTTTTTTTTAGCATTTTATTTCATTTTATTATTAGTTTCAAGTATACAGTACATGGGTTAGACATTTATATAATTTATGAAATGATCCCCCCGATTACTCTATCACCCACCTGGTGCTACACGCAGACATTACATTACTGCAGACTACATTCCCTAGGCCATGCTCCCCATCCCGTGACCATCTCTCAACTACTAATTTGTACTTCTTTACCTGTTCCCTAGGCCATGCTCCCCATCCCCATGACCATCTCGCAACTACTAATTTGTACTTCTTTACCCCTTCACCCTTTTCTCCCAGTCCCCCAAACCCCTCCCCTCCGGCTGTCACCAGGTTGTCCTCTGTATTTGTGAGTCTGTTTTTGAATAGTTTGTTTTTTTTGTTCTTTAGATTCCACATATTAGTGAAATCACATGGTAATTACCTTTCTCTGTCTGACTTACTTCTCTCAGCACAATAACCTCTAGGTCCATGCATATCATTGCAAGTGGTAGGATTTTTTTTTTTATGACTGAGTAATATTCCATTGTATATATATATATGAACCATAACTTCTTTATCAAATTGTCTGTTGATAAGCATCCTTTATTATATTTTTTAAACTGCTTTGTTGGGAGGAAGAAAATCAGTAGTCACCACCGTGGGATGAGAACATACCACCTCATCCCAGTTTAAAATATCAAAGTTAAAGATGTACTATCATATACAATTATAATTTAAGTACTTCTCTGAGATTGTCTTTTTGCCAAGAGATGAGAAGAAGCCTTAATGCACTCAGAGAAAGCCTTAATAACTCAGACCTCATGTCATTGAGAAGAGGAAGGAAAAGGTGGACCATGTAGCCTTAAGTAGCAAAGTCCAAAGACTTACTTGGAAAGCGTGCAACAATATACATTCGAAAGAAAATGTGAACTTATCTGGCTAAAAATACATGATCTACAAAAGGGTCACGTTATTTATTAAGGATGTCTTTAGTTGAGACATTAAACTCCAGCCCCTCAACTACCTCCACTCCCATCATTGACATAAGGCGCTGTCATATTCTGCAGGGCTAATGGGCTGATTCCTCATCTTTGGTTCCCCAGTCTGTGGACAGACACAATCAACATATTTGCATCTATATGCCCACAAAGCTGTAAATGTTAGAGTTATGGTGTAATTGTTTACCATCCCTGTAAGAGACAATTGGAGGAGATGGACATAGTGAGAAGTAAGGGTGAAAGCTGGCCTTTGATGCTATTAGCTTTTGTCACCAAACCTTTATTTGCAGTACTGTGAGGTCTGCTGTAGAAGCCACTGAGTATAACTGTTTCCTCTAGATTAAAATTGTCTCAGGCACTAAGATCTTAGAGGTTACCTTTTAATCAATTACATTAGCTTGCAAATTTTGTTATTCCATTTATGTTCATAAACTTCATTTCCTTTTCAAGTATTTTAATTGATTGATTTGATAAATAAGTACTCTTTCAGTATCAATGAATTTTTATAAATTTAGTAAAATTGACAGACTTACTGTCTTTGATACTGCAACACTGATAATAACAGAGCAAGCTCTAAACCTGAAGAGATAAGTGTAAATTGATTACTTGATTAACCGTTTCAAATCTATTTACAAAGTTGTTATTTCAATAACTAAATTCCTTTGTTTATTATAATTATATAAAATTAGATATGTGTAGCCTTTATCTGTCTTTGAGATATAATTTGACATACCCTAAATATTTAAAATGAACAATTTCATAATTTCAGACATACGTTTGTTTACACATTTGAAACCATCACCACGATCAACAAAATGAACATGTCCATCTCTCCTCAAATTTTCTCACGCCCCTTTATAAAGAATTCTCAAAATTTAACAATAACAATAGGATTTTAAGCCAAACTGAAAAATAGGCAAAAGATTTGAACAGGTACTTGACTGAAACCAAACAAATAGCACATAAGCACATGAAAAGATGCTTGATATCATTAATAATTAGGGAAATGAAAAGTACCACTACAACAGATGCTATTACATAGCTAATAGAATGGCTATAATTAAAAAGACTAACCATATTGAGTGTTGTAGAAGATATGAAGGAATTGGAACTCTCATACACAGCTGGTAGCACTGCAGAGTGGACAAATCACTTTGGAAAAAAATAATTTAGCGGTTTCTTTAAATAGTTAAGCATATACCTACTGTTCGATCCAGCCAATCTGCTCCTAGGTATTAAATGAAGAGAAATGAAAGTGTACAGGCATACCTCATTTTACTGTGCTTTGCTTCATTGCACTTCACAGATATTGCATTTTTTACAAATTGAAGGTAAGACCCTACACCAGCAAAAAGATCATGACTTGCTAAAGGCTAAGATCAAGGTTAGTGTTTTTTAGGAACGAAGTGTTTTTTAATTAAGGTATGCACGCTGTTTTATTAACATAATGCTACTGCACACTTAACAGACTACAGTGTAGTGTAAATATAACTTTTATATGCATTGAGAAACCAAAAAATCTGTATGACTCACTTTATTGCAATGTTCACTTTGTTGCTCTGGTCTGGAACCAATGCCTCCAAGGTATGCCTGTATTTTTATGTAAAGACTTGTACTGGAAAGCTTGAAGCAGTTTCACTGTAATAGACAAATACTGGAATCAACTCAAATGTCTGTCAACAGGTGAATGGACAAACACATAGTGTTATATCCATATAACAGGATACTACTCAGTAATAAAAAACAAATGAACTATTTGTTTTTTTGCAATGATAGGAGTGAATCTCAAAATAATCATGCTAAGGGAAAGAAACTAGACAAAAAATTACCTACTGTATGATCTTTTGTAAAACTCAAGAAAATGCAAACTAGTATGCACAGAAATACCTCAGAGATACTGCAGGTTAGTCACTTAGTAGCCGTCTCAGTTATCAGATGGATTGTTGCGGTATCCCAGTGCTTGTGTTCAAATAACTCTTATTTAACTTAATAATGTCCCCTAAGCCATTCACATAACTTTTATTACAGTATATTGTTATAATTATTCTCTTTTATTATTAATTATTATTGATAATCTCTTACTGTGCCTAATTTATAAATTAAACTTTATCACAGGCATGTATATATAGGAAAAGATATAGTATATACAGGGTTTGGTAGAATCCATGATTTCAGGAATCTACTGGGGTACTTGGAATGTATCCCCTGCAGATAATGGGGGACTACTGGATATATATAATTTATATGTATATGTATGTATATATAATTCATTGATTATAATGGCACATTTGCCTGATTTTTTAAATTAAAGTTTTCACAGATACCTTATGCTTACAGTGGACCAATTCTAACTATATTCTCACTCTCCAAGGGTGCAATTCATTTTCCTCTCTGGCAGAGAAACTGTCTTTTTTTACTTCTCAGCATAGCAGAGGGGATAATGCTCCATAAATATTACTACAAGCAGAGGGAAAGGAAGAATTTGTGCACAGGTAGTGAGAAGCTGACAAATTGAAGAAACGAACACATTTAGTTATGGCCGAATGTAGGGCGTGGAAAGGGGAGTGGTATAAGATATGTAATAGCAAGCTTATACGCATTTCTGGAAAATCCTGCTGGGTATGAGTTCCACTAGCAAGCTCTATTGCCTCACTTGATTAGTATTTACTGATCTTTCAATTCACTTTGTAATTAAAAGTTTCACCTTCATCTTTAGGATGGATGAGGGTTTTAAAATAGTTCACAGTAATCTTCACTTACCTGTCATCAAAAGTAGAGTACTCAAAGAAAGGATGGCCTTCTGTTTTTGTGTGGTTATTTGCTTTTTGATTCAGGGTTAGTGTATACTGATGAAGAAACATGCCTCTCTTTCATACTGTCCTCCAGTTTCTCGCATCTATCATGTCATAGTCTTTCCTTTCATTCACTTTTGAATATACCAAAATTTAAAGAAGTCCTGTTAATTCAAACTTTAGATTCTCTTTGAAATCCGTCATCTGCTCTTAATTGCTATCAACACCACCTTAATCCATGTCCTTGTTCTTCTGAAACCAAGACCATTTCAATTGTCTCTGTATTGATTTCTATGCTCTAGTCTCTTTCTTCCTTCTCATCCCACACGGGAGCACCAGGGTTATCTATTTGACATGCAAATATTATTGTTTCACTATTCTCTGAGTAATAGGGAACATGCAGAGGTCTTTAATTAAGGGAAAGTTCATAATCATTAGTGTTGCATAAATGTTCCTTCAAATCCAGCCCAGCAGACTTTACCAGTCTCCTCTCTGATAACTGCCCCTCACTACAATAACCTACACTCACACACTAGACTTTTTCTTTCCCCAAGCACTGTAAGTTCTTCCAGTCTTCTTGTCTTTGTCTGTGCTACCACCTATGATTAGAATGACTTCCTTCTCTCTATCCACTTCCCTCTGTCCTCTGTCTGCTTAACTACTTGAATGTCTTCTCTGATATCTTCTTAGACTGTCTGCAGTAGAAGTGTCTCTCCTTTCACCCCCAGGAAATTGTGTTTTCTTTAATGTGGTATTAGTCATATGACACTTAGTCATACGTATGAGTTTTTATAGGGGTATCCTTTACTAGAATTAGCTTTGCAAAGCCTTCCACATGACCTTTGCATCCTGATATGCCCAATACATATTCTATTCAATATATGATATTTTTATATGATATAGATAACACAGCACCTTCTCCAGTAAGCAAAAAATGGATATAAGATAAACATCCAAAGAATGATTGTAGAATTAAAAAAAAAATGGGTTCATGGCATTAATCAATCTAAAAAAAGTATCTGAATCATGAAGACCTTTATTTGCCATGCTAGGAAGTATTGAGTGCATTCCATAGATAATTGGCTGGGCTTTATAAAATTTAAGAAGTTTAAGCAGAAAAAAATGCCTGATTTTATTTATTTTTCTTAGAATATTACTTTGATAACTTTGCCAAATATGGGTTAAAGGATAGGAATGAGGCTAGAAACCCAAGTGAAAAGCAATACAACAGATCACCGGCAGTTAAGTCAAGTAACCATAGAAATGGAAGGAATAGAGACAATGGTTATTTGGAATGTAAATAAAATTCATAGGATTTAGTGACTAATTGGATTTAGAGAGTGGATAGTGAAATATAGAAAGGATTAAGTTCCAGAGATCTAGAGTGTGAGAATAAATAGATGAAGATCCATTAGCCACACTAGAGATATAAAATAGAGGGTATGTTTTAAGGGTAAAATCTTTATCAATTTTGGACATGCTGAATGAAGGATTTGTGAGGAAGTTCTAGTTACTAAGTTCAAAACACCAAAATATTTTAGGTGCCATACTGGGAATATGAATATGGAAAGTCTTTGTTCAAAATGAATTCAATGTATAAAAGAAAGCATGACACATCCAGCTTCCTGATACCACATAATACATGCTTTTCCAACAGAACAAAGTGCAATAGAAATAAAGGAAGTCGACAAAGCAAAGAAAATCTGCTGAGAACTTCGTGGGGTAGGTTAAGTTAGAGCTATATTTTGAAAAGTAAATTTATTCTTTCAGGAGACAAGAGACCTGGTCCTGTCCTCATGGTGCTTACATTTGCTTAGAGTTTGAGTCAGGTATTTAAACAGAATTATAATACAATCTTATGAGGTTTATAACAGAGGATTTCAGTGTTGGTTGGGACAGGAGACATTTTTGAAAAAATGATTAATAAGAGCAAAAATATTGCAAGGCATATTCCTCTATGACCATTCATATCAAAATTCAGAAAGTAGAAGTTCAAATCCTATATCTGGTATCAACTACTGAAACTAAGTATTAAAAAATGATATCCTATTCATGCAGACATTTGGGGGAATACAGTCTACTGGGAAACTTACAATATTAGCAACAGAAATTAAGACTTTTGCTGAGCTTCCCTCACTTTTGGTCCAATCCACTAAAATAACACAGGCATCTGGTGAGTTATTTTGTGATCATGTGATATATCACAATCCCTTCATTGTAATTGCAATAATTATTCTGTGAAATGATTTTAATAAGCATCACATTCTTAAGAAGATACTCGTTGAAAATTCCTTGAATGTGAAGTTGAGGAAAAAATAAAAGTTTTAATCTCATTTGTCATGCCTTATGATAATTTTATGTTTGATTTCATTTTTTATTTTTTTCTAATAGAAGATTTATTATAAAAGAGTATTTTGTGTCACAGGTGCTCCTTCAGGTTTATGGTGCCCAGGATCTGGGCCAGCCACGGTCCTAGTCAAGAGAACCATAAAGCTAAGCGATCAGGTGAGCCCTCCTGTATCTCCAACTTTGGCCTCATCCCTAGTACAGCATAATATAAAGGGAGTCTGAGCCTTCCATTCCAGTCTGTCATGGGTTGGTTCCCCATGGAACTTAGGGCAATGATTTCTGCCTTTGAACTTCAGTTAGCTTTTCTGTTGAATCAGAAAATTGGAGCACATGGCCTCTCATCTGTCCTGCATCTAAACACCAATGGTTTTAGTGACTAAGAAGTGCTGTAATAAAAATAAAGAAAAGAAAAACAGTGTTGATTCAAATCGCCCCTCTGCTACTTACTACATATGTGATCATGGGCAAATTATTTAAAATCTGCACCTTGCTTAACACATCTTTAAAATGGGGATGACAATAGCACCCACTCAACGAGTTACTGTGTAGGTTAAATGATACAATGCATACTTAGCTGTTAGCACAGTGGCTGGCATATAGTAATTGCTCAATAAATATTATAATTACCCATCCTCTAGGGGCTTGCTCCCAAATATTAATTCATGTGGGTTAGCCCTGTTTTTTAAAGCCACCCACAAACATGACACATTGTACGTAGCCAGAGCCACCTACACATATCATAGCCCTCTTTTATCCTACTTCTGGGGCCCTCCAGAATTGTTTGCCCTGCTCCTCACAGGTGTATCAAGCCACACAATCCCACCTCTTCCTGCTCTTCCCTGTTCCACTGGGAATATTAGCCTTGATGCTGACCTAAGTCAGTGATCTGTGATAGATTTATCAGCTGGGCCCCTGGTGATGACTTTGACCACAAATTTTCATTGTCTGGTCTGACAAACTGAGCTTTGCACAGAAACAGACTCTGGCAGCCAAGTGGAACTGTCGACTTTGAACTGAAAGACTAGGGTTTCATTTCATGTTCCCTGAACCAGGTATTCCCATTCAACTCTGTGCTCATTATCCACCCACTGCTCTCGGATGTTGTGCCACCTGCTTTAGCTCACTCACAGCATTCTCTCTGTGCCATGGAAACCTTCCAATCAGCTCCTCTGAGTACTCTCAGCAAGACTGGCCTCATTATCCACTAAATCTCTAAATTTCTATTGCAAAATCCTTCCAAAAGCTGCTTTCCACTGGGTGGTTAGATTATTGGCACATATCATTTCAGTATTACTACTATAATAAGTAACTAAATTTCAGACACTTCCTTTGTCATTCTTCACAAGTAAATCTCTCACCCATTGTCACCAAGGAAACGTATAAAACAAATCGATTTAGTCTGCCTATTCCAGAAACAATTGACAATAATAATGATTATTCTTAAAATTAGTAGGTAATTTATACTGAACACTTACTAGTTTTTCTATTTGCTAAACTCTATGTCAAGCACTTTTTCCTCTTTTTTATTAAATCCTCAAACAATTCTAGGGGACAACTACTACTTTATTCTCACTTGAGGGCTGAAGAAATAAAACTGAGGGCTAGTGAGTTAAAGTTACTTGCCCAAGGTAACATGGCTAGTAAATGAGTATCAAGATACAAACACCATTCTGTTTGACTTTGAAACCCAAAGAGTAAAAGGAAAAACTATACATGCACATGCCTAATTCTGATGCAAATGATATTGCTAAGAGCCATAACAGCAGTATTGATAGAGGACTATAGGGATCTAAAGCGAGACAGATCCCTTCCTGCTTGAGGAAAGAAAGAGAGAATGTTCACCTTTCATATCTGAGCATAGCTTTGAAGGATGGAAAGAAATTGAAAGCCTCTGAGAGAAAGAAGGGCAGGAACAGCACGGAGAGAAGAAGCAGTAGGACATAACAGTGAACATCTTACTTTGACTTGAGCCAAGCTCACACATAAACACGTGATAAAAAATCACGTTTGAAAGAAATACTGAGATCAGAATGTGGAATGCCTTTAATATTAGGCTAAGATGTGTTTCTGAGTGAGGTTGTAAGCAAACTCACGCATTATCATGTCTGTGTTTTAGGGAGACTCTTCAATTAGTGAACAAATGATGTCATCTGAAGAGGGAAGAACATAGACAGGGACCCCTGCTAAGTTATTTCAAGAGTTTAGGTAAGAATTATGAGGGTCTAAGGTAGGAGGGAAAATAAAAGAAGAAGTGAAAACCAGGGAACGAAGGTGCAAGATGCTTCCTTCCAACATTGAATTAAATGTAAAAAATTTCATTTTCAAAAACTTCATAAGCTTTTTGGGAAGACAAGATGTATATAAAACAAAATTAAAAAATATTTAAAATTTGGCAGTAAGTGGTACGTGAGTACAACGGAAGAATATATCAACTAAGGATGAAATTTCTGGGAAAGATTTTTAATAGAGGAATTTTTGACTCAATCAAAGGACATTTGGCAATGCTTGAATACGTATTCGGTTGTCACAGCTGGAGGGTTAAACTGAGTGGCAACTAATGGGTAGAGTCCAAGGAAGCTGCTAAACATCCTACAATGCACAGGACAGCTTCCTCCCACCCTTCTCCAACAAAGAATTACCTATCCGAAATTTTTCATAGTGTCGTGACTGAGAAACCTGCTTTAAAGGATTGCTAAATGATAGACATTGGGAAATTTATTTGACCTCTCTGACCCTGTGCTCTCATTTGTAAAATGGAGCAATAAGAGTAATAGTAACTTCTTCATAGGGTTCATGACAAGATTAAATAAGATGCTGGGTAAGCCTTTATCATATGGTAAGTGCTCAAGAAATCTCTATGAATATCGTATTTTTTTTTCCAAAAATGGGAAAATGAAGGGAGAATAATTGAATTCATACTGGAAAATTTTAGCTCATCTGAAGCCACTGAGTCAAAAATATGTAACCCAACTGTGACTGCCCTACTAGACTCCTCTCCCACCACATGTTAAACTGCCTGCTATTTTCATTTGATTACCTCACCATTTTTCCAAACTGAAAGTTTACAAAATAGAATTCATAATATCCCTGCTAACTCACCTCCATTGTTTCCAGCAAAGACACATTCCCTTCTTACTGAGTAAAGAGACACAATACGTATGATTCAGGAGCACTGCCTTCACAATTACCAGTTGCCACGAATATGGCATATGTTGTGCAGCCTTAGAAATTCAAGTCCTCTTGGCCTCAATTCCCCAACTACAAAGCTGAAGATGTTACCTGGGATAATCTAATAGGCCCCTTTCTGAACTAATACTTGTAGCGAGACTCCACTTTCTCTCTCTCTCTCTCTCTCTGTCTCTCTCTCTCTCTCTCTGTCTCTCTGTCTCTCTCTCTCTCTCTCTCTTTCTCCCACCTACCTCCACCTTACTCTACCACATAATGCCAACAAATACTGTCAATTCTTCTCTAGAAATGGCACTCACATTTGCCCACTTTTCCCCAATTCTAGTGGTAGCACACTAAAGCAAGTACTCAATAGCTTTTGAATATTTCAACAGATTCCTAACTGATCTCCCTGGCTCCAGCCTTTCTCTTCCCATCTACTGTACATACCACATGCATCCTCTTTACACGTTTCTTATATGCCGCACCTACTCATCATTCTTCAGTGACTCCCCACTGCATGTCTCACTCATTAAAACTCTTTTACTTAGAATCTAAGGCTCTCCACGCTTCAACCCAGTCCCACCTCCAGTCCTGGCCTCCCATGGCTCTCCTCCGTCTACTACTTTCCAATCCAGACTTGCTTATCTTCTCATCAACACTCTAGCATGACATACTCATTTCTTGGAAGATTCCTTACATTCTTATGCCCTCTGAGATGCTTTCGTGCATATCCAAACCACTTGTTCTTCATTAGAGAAATATTGATCAAGGGCCTATTCAGACATAGGAAACATGTAGAACACTATGATGGGGGGCGGGGGCAGGGGGGCGGAAAGCATGGTCTCTGCCCTTACAGAGCTTGCGGTCTAGAGGGAGAAGTGGACATTTACCGAGTAGTCACGTAAGTAAATGTGAAACTGTATCTGTGTTGAGTGTTACAACTAAGAGAGGGGTAGTGCTGTAAGAGAATAATGTGGGATTTGACCTAGTCAAAGTGGGGTGGGTCCAGCAGAAGGTCAATAGGGTTGATATTTGCATATCTAGCTAACCAGGACATGAGGGAAAAGAAGCCCATTCTGAGCAAGCTCACAGTTTCACTGAGGTTTGTTTAGTTTATGCAGAAAGTGAATATGTGCTGACCCATTTGATCTTGATAGGTACTCTGCAATCTTAATAACAACCCATTGTATAGATGAGCAATTAGAGTTCAGAGATGTTAACTAGCTCATGCAAGGGAGAAAATCTGGAGCAAAATTGCGGTCTCTGATCCCTAGAGCAGGAGTTTTCCTCCCAACTACAGTCACTGCCCCTGCAGTTTGCAAAGTCCATTCACCTTTACCTAACAAGCAGCCCAAGTGTGACTTTTTCCCCAAAGCCATCTCAGTCCCCTCTGATCCATAATCAAAAATAACGAGAGCAAAGCAAATGCTGTCTTATAAACCAGGAAAATATCTATAACATAAATGACAGCAAAGGCTCACTATAAAAAAACCTCATAAAATTAATAAGAAAAACAATCACAATCCAGTTCAAGAATGAAGAAAATTCATAAAAAAGAATATAAAGAGGTTAAGCAAATACAAAAAAAAAAGTCAGACTGCATTAGAAATCAAAGAAGTACATATAAAAAGGGAATAGCTTTTATCCATTAAACTAGTAGTTTTTAATATAAAATAAAAGGAAAAGCTGTGAACTTGCCAATAAAAGATGGCATTAATGTACGTTGTTGGTAAGAGCATAACAAATATAGCAATTATATAGAATGTGCCATTCTAAATACTTTACATCCACTGTTATAATTATTTTCCATATATGAACTCAACTTTGTGAAATAGGTACTATTGTTATTTCTGTACTAGAGATGAAAGAGCTGAAGCACTTTCCCAGCCACTAATTACAATAATACGATCATCTGAAAATTACTTAGATGTTATACAACAAGAAAATGTAAAGTATCAATATTTGACCTAGTATAATAACTTTTTGGAAAGATTTATGGACAAATGTATTCAAAACAGTATTACCATTCAGATTTTCCTGATTTTTTCCCCACAGTTATGAATATGGATAATAAAATGAAAAAGTGAAAACTTGGAAATGATGAGAGAGAAACTGTTAAATGTCTATATCTATATGACAGAACATTATTCACCCTCCAAAATAATATGAATAAAAAATTTCGGCTGACATAAGAAAATGTTCTAGAATATTAAATGTTAAGGGAGAAAAATAATACAAAATCATATATAGCATAATGATTCCAACTTTGTTTATAAAAAATACTCAGTAAATATTTGAATGCAGCTGCAAAGAAAGTCAATGTCATCGTTAGCTTGTTGAAAAGAAATATATTACCTATAAATAAGGATATGGAACACCTCCTTTGAAGAAGCAGCTAAAATATTAATTTAAAAACAGAGGGACAATTTTTTTTTTCAAATGAGAATAGTGATATACATTAGAAGATATTATTGTCTTCATAAAATAGTTTAGAGGTTACAAGTTGGAGAACCTCAACTCTGTTGCATTCCTCTTAAATTTCATTAAAATGAATCACATCTGTGAGGCTTTTTCAGTATCATAGGAACAAAACTTAACTAAATCTGAGCTACTTGGCCAGGACTCTGTTCTTCAGGTTTGGCCAGTCTCTTTGACCCACTGGGGTTATGTCCAGCTGGCTCTCTGTAGTCATGTTGACTCTTTACAGTTTAAGAGTTTAGTAGAAATAGCCTCACCCTCTGGTCCACCCAAAGGAAAACCTGTAGCCATCTCCAAAATCTGAGAACTTTCCTTTCTATTCTGAGCCTATCTAGTCTTCTGAGATTCCAAACTAGCTACTGTCAACCCCATTTCTCTTCTCTTACGTGGGGCCTGGATATAATCCCTGTTCTGTGGAACGATCTTCACTGGTGTTGGAGATTGGATTGTATTCATGAACTACTAATGGAACCTGGCCTAGTTCAGACCCTAACTCCTGAGATCAAGAGCAAGCAAGACCCAAGCTCACAGAATGTGGTGAAGGAATTCTAAATCTCTGCTTTCTCATGTTCACTCCCATGATAAGTGGAGGCCATGTATCTTGGTCCAGTTACGTTATCCGCGTATCTCTACTTTCTCATTTGAAAAATAGATATAATTATAACATTTATCTCATTAGGAACATGGCAAGTTTTTAGCACACAGATGTCAAGTCTATAAATGTTAGCTACTAGTATGTTGATGACGAAGTGATGATGATCACCAGGAGGATCCAGCCAATTCCCATTCAGAGTAAGTACAGAAATTCAACCAGACTGAATTTCTGGTTGTCTGTTTTTACCTATTATGTTATCTTCAGTACCTATCGCGTAGTGAATGGCAAATACAAATGAATGGATAGATGGACCTGGCAAACACCTTCCAGTGGCCCAGATTTTGGCATCCCCAGGGAGCAGTGCTCTCTTATATATCTGGGTAACGAGTGTGGGATTTCTGGAAGAGGCATCCTGGTAACCACCTCCAGAATCAGTGTCTAGGTACGCTTTCCACATGTGGTGGCCTCTGTTCCTATATCTCTAGGTAGCACTAGGCAGAACCAAGATTCCCAGCTAAAACTGACAGCAGCTTGTGGCCAGCACTGTCCAAGATCACCTTAGTCAAGGCTGAAATCTTCCAAATTTGTCTTCTCTCCAGTCTAACACTTGAATCCTCTCCATAATATTTATAGTAAATATGATCAGTGAATCCATGTTTGAGAATTACTAGCAATGAGAAGCTTGACTTCTAGAATAAAATCATCTTTCTAGGTAGTTATATAACTCACTATAATTTTGTCCTTTTATTCTAGTTTTAACCCCTTTGGGACCTTGAAAAATAAATATAATCCCTCTTTCACATCCAAAGTTTCTTTATTTGGCATGGCTCTTTGTAGGAGGATTAAGGATTGTTTATAGTTCAGTCTTTCCCAGATTATGTTTCAGGGGACAGTGCTGTTGAGATGCATTCCATGAAAATGGTGGTCTGTTTTCAAGTAAGTTTGCTGCTTACCAAAAACACAGGGTACATTCAGTGCTAGCAAGTACATGTTTTATTAGTAGAGGCAAGATGGTGATCTCACACATGCACTGAAAAGGATTTCCACAGTGGATGAAAACACTGACTTTATAATGAAACTATCATCTCTGGTCCCTTCAGTATGAATATTTTCATGAAAAGGATCTAGTAATTCATTCTTGCTTACAATGACCCAGTCTCACTTGAAACCTCACAGAAAAGCAAGGAAAAGTGAACATTCCGTATTTAATTCATTCCCAGTCATTGAGGGTCAGCCCTAAGTCACGCCCAGTCAGGAGGGTTTGTCAATTAGTCATCATCTTTAGGGAAGGGCCAGCCTGTCTACTCCCAATATAATTCACTTAGTTCTCATCAATGGCAATAGAATATTTCACCCTTCACTTAAAAGCTCAGCATATTTTAGATGAAAGAAAATCAGAAGTCAAGGAAGTCCACACCTACCCTTTCCCAGACACCTGGGAAGCTTTTGGTAGCCTTAGAGAAATTGTTTTAAAATGTACACATGATATAGCAACCTGTTTCACAAATTGTTTCTATCTTCCCAGAAATTACTCTAGTCCTATAGCAACCATTTATGTATTTTACATAGTTGTAATCATGATGCACATATAATTTCACATATGTTCACAAATCTTTCATACTCTATGGCATTTATATTTATCATACAATGTCTATTCAGGGAGTTCACCCTGAGTGCCTGGAAGGTTAATTAACTTGAGGCTACTTCAAATACTTACGATGATAGAGTATTAAAATAAACATTTTTGTACAGAAATATCTTCCTTGTCTTTATTTTCATAGTATAGAGTTTTATGAGTGGGATTATTGACCTAAAAAAGCATTAACAATCTAAGGCAAAGTAATCTTTTATTATACTATACTAATTTATAATGATACCAAGAAGTATTAGAATTAGAGTAAATAATGTTTTAGAATGCACATTTTATTACAATTTTACTAACATTGTAAAATATATTTTTATTTTACATTCATCTAGGTAACAGCACTTTCACAAAACTTGAGAAAAAGAATATATCATAACTTTTTTCTAAACACTGCAAAATATATTCACATAGAAAGACATCCTCAAATAAGTCTTTAAAAATACTTCTTCAAATGCCTTGAAAAATTTGTATGATTTAAATGAGACTTACTGGTAGAATTCTAAGAAGGCCTGCAAGATTCCCGCCCCATGTTGCACGTACCCTGTGAGTACCTTTGTGTGTGGCAGGTCTTATAAATACGAGACCAAACCACCACCAAGATCAGGCTATATTATATGACAAAGTAAAGGGATTTTGCAGGGGTAATTAAATTCCCTGAACTATTAACTCTAAGTAAATTAAAAGGAAGATAAGCCTAGGTGGGCCTGACCAAATCAGGTGAACTCTTGAAAGAGGGTCTAGAGTAAGGTCAAAGATGGAAGGTCAGAAAGATTTAAAGCAGTAGCATACACACTCTTGCATATCTTGAAGAATCATATTGTCATATTTTGAAGAGGGACAAAAGGTAACCTCTAGAAGCTGAGGACCTCAGTTCAACAGCTGCGAAGAACTAAATTCTGTCAACAACCAGTGACTTTGGAAGCAAACCCAGAGCCTCAGGTGAGATTTAAGTATCAACTGACATCTCGATTTCAGTCTAGTGAGACTGAACTTGAGACCCATCTAACCCATGCCTGGTCTCCTGACTCACAGAAATGGCGAGGTAATAAATGTGTGTTATTACAAGGCAGTAAGTTGATGATAATTTAGTACTCAATGATAGAAAACAAATACAGACCTAACAACATATTAAAGGTAAACAAAAACAAAAACAAAAAACAAACCATATAGTTATTTAAAAAAATCAACATTAGAGGGGAAAAAATAAAATAAAACATTAACTGCAAATGGGAAGAGTTAGAGTTAATAATCATTTTAAATTAATATAATGCTTTGGAGAAGTTGAATTCATAAAGACCAATAAAAAATACAGTTAAAGATGGGGTTTCATTCTTAAGATTAAATAAAACAAAAATGTACCAATAAAAATAGTATTTTTTCCTATAAAAGTAAAATATTTTATATGAGTATAAATAATTTTATTAACAATGTTTAAAATTGTTTTTAGAAATAACAGCATAGAAAAAAGAATCTTTCTCTTCACAATTTTAAATATAAAATTAAATAGAAGATAGTCTATGTACTAATAAGCAAAAAATAAATAAATATAAATGAATCCAAGAAAGTATATAAAAAGATAACAAAAGTCAAATTATGAAGTTATTTGGTAAATATAAATGATCTAAATTTCCCTAATCAAAGACGAGGAATCTCCAACTGTATCTGAAAGAACTTTAGTAACAATGCCTTTAATGACATTTCTAAAACAAAATTATAAATTAATTATTTCACTTAAAAGGCTGGGGAAAAATGAAAGAAAAAAGTCATGTTTAAACAAAAGAAGAACAAGGTTGCTAATATCAACCTCAGGGGAAAAAGAAGAAATTGAATAAAACATAGTAAGTTTAGTAGGCTTATTTTATAGTAATTGAAGTTATAATAATTTAAAAATATACAAAACTTTATGAATGGAAAGAATGTGTAAAGCAAAACATATTATACATATGTAAAGAATGATCAGAGATAGTTTTATATTAATGCAATGAAATTAATATATTGCAGATAAAACAGAAACTCATGACAAAAGCAGACCATTGAAGAATACTTAAAGTTTAAATCCTATATACCAGAATTTACAGAATCTGGTCAAAGAATTACTTATAGCAAAAATAAAATAAAGCCACATCACAAGAAAATAAATAGAAGAAAATAAATTATATCAAAACTGGTATGTTTAATTTAGAAATTATAAGCACATTTAAATTAATCAAACCCCATTCCTTAAATATGACTAGCTATATAGACCAAATTCATGGAATCTAATCAAAGAAAAAGAAGTAGAATAAACTTTAGAAAATCGAAGGGAGGTTTAGTAAAATGGTCATTTAAAAGATTATGAGTTTTTCAAATAGTGCCATTAACATGGGTGATTTTGTATCAAAAAATCCAAAATATCAAAAATACAATGCAGGGAGCTGAATAAGCCTAAAAATTATAAAGAATATATAACTTAATCAAGGTGACTGTCTTTTTTATATTTTATGATAGAAGCAGTAGTCATATTTAGAGTCCTTTCTAAATTAAGGAAAGGGCCTTTGTGTGTTAAGCCTTTTACATGTTTTATAATTTTCTTAAAACTGCTATTTAAGTGTATGTCCTGATTTTATGCTATAATATAACTTTCATTATTTCCTCAAGTGTGTGTGTAAATATATATTCTTGGCACCAATAGAATAAATAAGGACGATGTGATGCTCATAAGACTCCGGCTAGTCACTAAGAACAATCATAGTGAGAACACTGTGGTTGTCTTCACTTCTTCCATGAGTATTTTTTGGTAGTGGACCATGTAGATTTTTATAAGGTTTAATATACTTTATGTAGCCTGTAATAAAAAGCTCCATTTCTTTTTTCTTTTTTTTTAATTTTATTATTAGTTTCTAGTATACAGTACATTGGTTAGACATTTATTAGTGTATAAAATGATCCCCCTAGTTGCTCTTTCTTTCCTTTAGCTCTCCACCTAGTCATTAATGCTAACTACATTCCCTATGCAGTGCTCCCCATCGCCATGACCATCTATCAACTACTAACTTGTACTTCTTTAACCCTTCATCCCTTTCTCTTAGTCCCCCAACACCCCTCTCCTTTGACATTACCAGATTGTCCTCTCTATTTGTGAGTCTGCTTTTGAATCATTTGTTCTTTTTATTCCTTAGATTCTGCATGTAAGTAAAATCCTATGGTATTTATCTTTCTCTGTCTGACTTATTTCACTCAGCATAATAACCTCTAGCTCTATGCATGTTGTCCTTTGTGTGAGAAAGCCTATCTGAGCATCATGGATCTAGGGCTGAAGGACAGGTCAGATGACGGCTTTATTTTTGCTTTTCATTTGTTTACAAACATCCCTAGAGAGCAGAACCATGAGGACCTTAAACTTTAGTGTAAGGAAGACCCAAGCTGTTGAACTTCTCTGAGCTTAATTTTGTCACCTGTAAAACAGGGCTAAAAATTCCTTGTCTGTTTGCTTTGAGACTTGAGAGCAACAAGGACTGCAACTGAAACAATACATGGGAATTGTGCTTTTCTTTTTCTTTTTCAGGATTTTTTTAGAGGGGTCGTTCTGGTGCTGCAGTGTATCTACATGCTTGCTCATTCTCTCTCATTCTTTTTCTCTCTCTCTCCACTCCCCCATCCCCTCCCTTTCTACTCCCACACAACTCACTCCTCATTATGTAAAGAATAACACACTGATGCTTACCTAGCGGCTGATGAGGGGGAAAATCATGGATGTGGCATATAAGGAACAGGCTCACAAAACGCTTACGGGCCCCAGTCTATCTATGCTTGACTCTTGGAACATTTACTTGCCAACTCTGTGAACTTGGATAAATTCTTTAACTCTTCTCTGCCTCATATAGAAAATACAAAAGATAATAGTAGCTCCCTCATAGAAATGCTATGAGTATTACATGAGTTAACATAAGTCAGCGCTTGGATGGCAGGGTGACACATAGTTCATGTTTAATAAGTGCTAGTTATTATTCTGACATACGCAGTCTTTAAATATATGTTGAATAAAAATGTTCATTGCTGAGTATAATCCACATATTCCAGGCTTCACCATGATAAGACAAAAACATAAGGTCACACTTCCTTTTTATAACCAAAATGTGATGGAACTAATGACCCTCAGATCAAAAATCATACATCCTCTATAAGTCCCTCAAGTATTTCTGAGATTTTTTCCCATTACTGCTATTTATGGCATTAGAAAATAGAAGTTCTAGTCCATCTGCTCTCAAATCTTTTTCATGCCATCGCTCTGTAGTCTCTATTACCAGTGACCCTTGGGAATCATAATCTTGTTGGATACCGTTATTGTCCAAAGGAGATCACCAATGTCATTCTTTTCTGGGATCAACTGAGCAGGTGTTTTTCCCCCAAATGTTTTGCCTTTGCTACTCAAAACATCCTTAAACAAAAGCTCTATTTTTTTTAACTATAATTTACTGAAGCTTTGTGGATAATGAAAGTAAAATACTGAGAATAATAGGTTCTTTGCATGGGCAGTTCCTCTTAATTCAGGGATCATCTAAAATGCCATCTTCTCAGAGAGACCTTGCCAAATCATCCCTTAATGCATCTTCCTGTTACGACTTCCCCCTCCTCCTCCTTTTATTCTTTACTATACCTAAAATTATGTTTACTTGCTTATCTAGTCTCTTGTTTTAGAAAGAAAGTTCGTGTTCATTCCTGAGTCCTTAGAGCCTAGATTAGGAGATGTCTTATGGTAGGAAAAAGATACATATTTAGGAGATTAGGAGATGTCTTATGGTAGGAAAACGATACATATTTCTCATAAGAAAGGATGAGTGAATAAATGAACGAAAGAATGCACAGAACCAGACAGGCCTTAGGGTGTAGCTAATTATTGCTCATTTTTCAGATATCAACTTGCACATGACTTCCAGGCAGGGTCTTCCATGACCCACTAGATAAGATAAACTCTCCCCACGACATGATCCCTCTGTACTCTTTATTTATCGAAAATCATTCATTCAAGTATCTGTCTTCCCTGCTTTATTGTCAGGGTAGGAATTATATCTGTTTCCAATCATACTGTGTCCCCAGCTTCTAAACAAGTTCACGCCATGTAATTGGTGCTTAATAAACTTTTTCTGATAAAATAATTCTTAAAAAGAGTATTCAAATTGATGACATAACATACAATGAAGAAGTAGCTTTCTTAATTTAATGGAAAATGCAAAATCAAAATTATGCGAAGAAATCATTCTAATATAAAGCCAACTTGCCCAACAGTTTTTGCAAATCATTTTTCTTGACTCTTTACATCCCTCGCTTATGAGTCATTCTGTTCCCGCCATTACTAAATGTTACAAATTCCTCCACTGTAATAATAATAACCTTTTTGAATACCACTTAGCAATGAATGTGTCATTTAACTCATCAAGTACTAATGCCTTCCATTAACAAATCTAATGACTAAGGAAAATAGTTTCTCCATGTGTACTTTCACATTATTCTATGAGGGGCAAAAAATGATAATAGTCATTGCTGGTATTGTTGCATTTAGTGTCATCAGAAGAAAGCAACCTTCAAAGTGACGTGTCTTGGGAGTAAACCTGCCTGCGGTTTCTCAGTGTTCAGGAATGTGAAGATGATAGCACATCCCACCTCGGTTTCCATGGCCTAAGTGGTAAAACAGCCCCTCGGCTATTTTGATGCTTAGAGTTTAACCCCTAGTTTTCAAATAGGTTCACACAAATGGCAAATACCATTTAATTAAATAAAGGAAAATCACAATTTTTCAAATATTAAATGTATAAGTTAATTCTATAGAAATATTATTATATTATTTAATTTTATGGCAATGTCTCTCGGCCTAGAAGCATACTTTGTTTCTGCTTTGAAAAAAATATATTTTACAGTGCCACAGTTACCCATTTATACAGTGGATATAATCATGTCTATTAAGTTCGGAGACATGCCCTAAGTAAAGGGAATTAGTGATCATGATCATAATTATAGCTCCCACTTATAGTTTATTATGTGCTAAGGATTAAATATTTTATCTACATAAGCTAAATAAACTTTACAGAAACACTATGGTACTGACAGATTTCCAAAAAATGTTTAAAATAAAGGACCAAGGCATAAGAGATTAGATCACTTGCCAGTAAGAACCACCACAGTGTAAAACTCTAGTTGGCACCACTGATGTTGTAGTTTCTATGTATGACAACCCCTGGAATCCTGCAGCTACATGGCCCTGAGTGCCAGAGCCAGGATGGAAATCAAGCTCTTAAACATAATGCCTTACCACATGGTTAGCTATAAAGTACAGCAATGAT